AAACCCCCCCAAACCAAAAAAAAAAAAATAATTAAAAACCCCACCCGAAACCAAACCACATGCTATAGGCACAAAATGAGTTGTAAAGAACTCTCACCACTAGCACCATTCACACAGAGATAGAAGGTACACACCAAGTTCCAGGTCAGCCTGAGCTACAGGGTGAGACCCTGTTTCAGAAAACAAACAAACAAACAAACAAACAAACAAACAAACAAAAAACAAAAATAAGCAAAAACATATGGACAGGCAGTAGGCGATGCCAATAATCCCAGCTCTCCAGGGGATCTGAAGACTTCAAGGTCATGCTCTGCTACATATTAAATTTGATGGCTACCCTGGGCTTACTTAGGTGTCCTCCCAGAAAAAAAAGGGGGTTGGGCAAGGATTCATTCCCAAAGGGTCTAAGGGAAGAGCTCCGTAGATTCAGAACCCTGGGTTCCTGGCCTGCTCTGCTGTCTCCATGCCATCTTCATCTTGATCTCCAGCTTGGTCTTCAACTCCATCTCCGCCCTTGTCTTCGTCTGGGTCTTCATCTTGGTCCTCATCTCCATCTCCGTCCTCCTCATCTTCACCTTGGTACTCCTCTCCGTCTTGGTCTTCATCTCCATCTCCGTCCTCATCTCCATCTCCGTCCTCATCTTCACCTTGGTACCCCTCTCCATCTTGGTCCTCAGGTGTGGAAGCAGACAGAGACCGACAATCTCTGGAAGGACTTCTCGGTCGTCGGGAGCTGGGAGGACTCCAGCTCTCCATCGCGGTCGCCCCATTTTTTTCACTGTTCCAGGTTACAGATTTCACAACTGTGCTTATGGTTGATCGGGCAGCCTTTAGATTTGCAGCAGTGGGTGTTGTGGCATTGGTAGAACACGAGGGCGATCCGGGTGTGGCTGTGCCCTTGGATTCTCAGCTGCTCATACTTCTCATTGTGAATGCTGAACCAAATTTCAACTTGCTCCTCCTCCAGGTCATCTGGAGGCCGGGGCCTTGAGAGCTTTGCCGTCAGGGTTGGGGTCCATCTTGATATAGTCTTGCATGGCAAGGTGCTGGTCCTCCCGCTACGTGTAATGAAGCCCCGGAGGGTAGGGTTTTGGGGTGCACGGAGGTTCCCGTTGGGCTGCAGCTGCCTTCCGGTATTTGAGGCTGCAGTCATAGTACCTAGGCTTGAGTCTGTTCATTTTGAAATTCCTCAGCTGGATCTCTCTACCTGCAGTCCTTCTGACCCCGACTCACTCTGCCCAGTGCAGTGCCTTCCCGCAGCGGGTGCACTCTTTGGGGTCGTGGCCTTCCTGGCTTCCTGTTTCCCCAATGGAGCAGCCACATGTCGTGCTGGTTTTTGTGCTCTTTGCTTGAAAAACAACCGAGTTTAGGCCCGGTCTTCCCTGGTCTGCAATCCAAAGAACACTAAGGCCCCAAAAGTGTTCCCCATTTCACCTGGACATATGTTTTTTTCTGCTTATATTGTAAGAGAATCTAATTAAAAACTCTTCTAAACTGAGTTTCTTTGTTTATGAAATAGGTTTAGCAGGAGAATCCACCTGAGGGGTGGATGAGTTATTGTGATGAGGGATTACTTTGAGGTCAAGTGATGTAGTGAGTAGAAACTGCTCAGTGTGGCTTATGGTTTGGTAGTGGCAGAAGGTAGGATTTCTGTTGTTATTAATAGTAGTCAAAATAGCAGCAGCATCATGTTTACCAAGATGAACAGGGTACAGGAAAAGAGTGTACTACAGAGGCAGGCTGGAGAGAGCACAGCAAGAAAACAGATCTTGTCCAAGACTGCCTTTCAGAGCCTGATTGCCTGAGTAGAGAAGGCGTCTTGGAAGGGTTTTGAGGGATCTTGACTATCTGAGCCTCAGTAGCTGTGAGAATGAATTTGCACTTGAAATAGGAAACAGGAAGGTGACAGTGAGTGTGGATGAGAGGCAGCTTGAGGGTGTGCTCTCCTTCCAGAAACCCTGTCATCTAATTGAAGAACAAACCACAGGGTTTTAAAGGAGGGAAAACAAATTGTTTAGTCCATGAAGGATAAATTTTCCAACACTGCAGTTCCTTTTGGTAAGACTATGTGTTGAACATTTTCTATTCTAACTTGGAATTAAAAGTTCTTTTTTAAGTCAAACAGTGAGACTTTGATGTGTCTGATCTTTTTCCCCCTAGCTACCTCTGAACAGTGAGGATGAGAATTATGAACTACACGTAACTGGACGTACCCAGGATATGATCTTATTCTCCAATAGCACACGCTTATCTTTTGAGATCAAGAGAATGTCTGTCTTCATTCAGACGGATAAGGCTCTCTATAAGCCAAAGCAAGAAGTGAAGTTTCGTGTTCTTACGCTCCTGTCGGATTTCAAGCCTTACAAAACACCGGTGAACATTCTCATTAAGGTAAGTTGGGGGCAGAGATGAAGCAAGGAATTCGGGTCATCTCACTAAAGTTCTATTGGAAGTTCTGCTTGTGGTATTAACACAGTATTTTCTTAGAATTTCACCTCAGAAAAAGTTCCCTCTCTTGCAAGGGAGGTGGTAGAGTCTGGCCAGGAGCTCAGGCTCCAGAGTCAGTCCATTTAGGTGGTTTTTTTTTGTTTTTTTTTTTTGTTTTTTTTTTTTTTGGTCTTTTTGAGACAGGGTCTCCTGTAACCCCAGGTGGCCTGGAACTCACTATGTAGTCCAGGCTGGCCTTGAACTCACAGAGATCTGCCTGTCTCTGCCTCCTGAGTACTGGGATTAAAGGCATGTGACACCATACCTGGCCCAGTCCATTCAGATTTTAACCCTGACTTTATCACTCATCTATTTATCAGTTACTGAATTTCTGTAATTGGCGCTGGTATAAGGTACTGAACAGAACACATTAAGTCTCTGCTCATGCTGAGTTTATTTTTCAGTGGGTACCCAGGAGATGGTGGATAACGAGCACACACCTACACATCTACATAAAAGGACAGATATTCATGTGTATTTACATGTATCTGTGACAAAGAGTGATGGGGATGAAGAGAAGCAGACACAGGCAGAGGAAGTGAGAGTTTATGTTTGACACTTTATATAGCATTGCCAGGGAAGATCAACGTGAGCACAGATCTACAGGGAATATGGAATGAGTGAACACAGAGGGGTCAGCACATGGAAAGGCCTGAGACACTAAAGAAACAAGTTTTAGCCACTGGACAAACATTAGGAGATGAGGTTGGTGCTGCTACAGGATGGAGGGGTTGGACTCATATAGGATCTTCAAAATTTTTTTTGATTTATTATTTTTTATTTTACACATATCAGTGTTTTGCCTACTTGTATGTAAGTGCACCAGGTGCGTAATGCCCACAGAGGCTAGAAAAGGGCATTGGATCCCCTGGAACTCGAGTTATGGATGGCTGTTAGCCATCATGTGGGAGTCAAACCTGGGTCCTCTGCAAGAGCAGTCAGTGCTTTTAATTGCTGAGCCATCTCTCCAACCCCTCATACGGGGTCTTGTTGAGAATTTACTGGAGAATTCTGAGGAGAGGTGTGATATGGTCTGACCTTAAAAGGAGCAGCCTGACCACAGACTCTAGCTTTGTGACCTTGAGAAAATTAAGCCCTGTAAGCCATAGTTTCTGTAGTGTTGTTTGTGTAATAATTTTGGTGAGGATTAGGTGAGAGAATTCAAGTGCACTGCGAACTGTGCCCTGTGTGCAGTACATGCTCACTGCTCATTCTTACTGTCATAGTCCCTCTGGGCAGGCGGTCTCTTCTGCTTGAGTACTCCAGTGGTGTGTTGGCGGCATGGTGAGCTGACTGTTTTCCTGTGAGAATCAAGTCGAAGACAGTGAGAGCCAGCCGGCTTGGTTTTCTACATCTTTTTTTTTTTTTTGGTCTTTTTGAGACAGGGTCTCCCTATAGCCCCAGCTGTCGTGGAACTCACTATGTAGACCAGGCTGGCCTTGAACTTACAGAGATCAGCCTGCCTCTGCCTCCCAAGTGCTGGGATTAAAGGTGTGTGCCACCACGCCTGGCTTGGTTTTCTACCTTTAAGCTGAGAAGAAAACTAGACATTTGATAATCACATGATAATAGGGTGACCAGTCCGTTCCAGTTTGCCTGAGATGCTTCTGATTTTAAAACTGAGTACCCAGTTCTGGGGAGACCCTCAGTCCTGGGACATTGGCTACCTTAAATGTTCTAATAAATGACAGCACAGAAGGTAAATTCAGGCTTCTTAGTTCAATATCCTTCTATTATTTATAGTTTCTTTGTTGTTGTAAGTTAAAATAACCAGATTAGCCAAACAAATTAAAAAAAAAATCCTGATGTGCTTTGCACTTTAAGCCAAGATAACATTTGTGGCAAATATATTGACTGCATGGTGTTCAATACATATGCCTGAACTGAGCTAATATTTCCAAGGTTGTAGCTCTTTGAACTTTTGCCATTTTCAATGTAATGGGATGTCCCAAAGCAGGCTGACATGGTGCATAGCATTTCTATCTCATGTGATTCTGAGTAAGGCTGAACTGACCACACCGTTCTTTGTCATTTAGTCACATGCACTGAGAACGTACTATTTGTGTAAAATAGTTGATTTAGCAGCAAGTGTCTTCTTGCCTTTCACTGACTATCCGCCCCACTACTCATCTGGCGATTGAACTCAGGTCCTCAAGCAGGCCAGCAAGTGCCCCACCACTGAGGTGTACCCCCAGCTTCTCTACCTGCTTTGATTCAGTCCTTCCTTCTACTTACACAAGGGCAAGGGAGCCCTAGATAGATTGCCTGCTCTAGGCCTTGGCTGATTCTGGACAGTGGACCTGTGTGCCTTCATAGCTCTGACACTGCTCTATTTTTGTGCTTTAAATATTTTATTTGGAGGTTCTTTGGGCTCTTTTGGAGCTATCCTGCCACATTTGGCTTTCTAGGAAGGGCTCAGAAAGATCTTCCTCTGTTAACTATGGACTGAGGGATCATACAATGACTTGCCCAGGAGAGGGAATTTTGGACTGAAGTTCAGTGCTTGGAAATGGTGAATGGGCATGGGGGAAGAGCATATTCGCCTTTCTTCCTAGACTGTAAAGGCAGGATATAGACTCAGATTTAGCCGACTTACTCCTGTCATTGCAGAGGCCATGGTGCTGTGTGTGCTCACATCATTGTTCTCCAGCAGAGAATGGCGATTTGGGACAAGGTGGATTAGAGTATAATTTCTGTGGACTAAAAAAGAAATTTTTTTTCAGTGTGGAATAGTTAGTTTCTGAGCAAAACTTTCAGATGAAAATTGGATTCAGGGAAACTGATCCAGACTGGTACAGCTGTGTTCCCAGCACAGCACCACCTGCAGGTTGAAGAGGAGCAGAGCATCTGTGGGCCAGCTTGTCAAGAATGCTGGAACTGATTCTGACACTAGGATATCTACCAACACAGCTACTGAGGCTGTTCAGTGTTTTTTTTTTTTTTTTTTTTTGTAATGGGAATCACTGACTGTTACTCATCCTGCCTGTCCTATAACTAACCTCCTCAGAAACAAGGAGGGCTCTAAAGGGTTCTCATCAATGGAAAACATGCTATCCTGACAATTCTGTTTTACAGTCGGTTTGGCCTAACAGAACAGAAGTGAGTCCCTTTGACTCTGTGGTGTCAGCTGGTACAGCTGGCATCCACCCTGGACTTTCTGCTTTAAAAAGTTGCTCTGGGTATAAACAGATGACCTTGTGTGGGTGAGCTGTTTCTGTCATGGAGGGCAGATCCGGTGATTGTACTCCAACACTCTGGCCTGCAGCAGCTTTCGCAATCTCAGAAATTCAGCCCTGGCCAGGTGACTGGTTACCAAGCTGGAGTGATTTGACTTCTTTTGTCCTGTTTGCTGAACAGACACGTACCTTGTGTATATGAACAGACATGTACCCTGTGTATAAGCCAGCACTCTAGAAACAGTCGTTGCAGATACATTCTCCAGCCAGGGAATGTATGTTTTGAGATAGTCTGGTACAGGTAACTTGCTGAGGCATGACAGAGACCTAGAGACACCCAGAGGTGATTTGATTGTCAGGAGCTGCTCTGGCTGGGACAGGGTACCACTGGCACTGTATGTGGCATGTCTTAGGTGAGATTCAACACATGACACCTGGCAGTGCTGGGCTATGCCTTTGTGCTGTATGCGGGTGTGTTTAGATCCCAATGTGCTCTGCTAACACTTCTGTTTTGGTTGTATCTACGTGTCCTCTTTACTGGTCACAGTCCAAGTGGAAGACAGGCTTGGGAACCCAGAGAGATTATTTCATTCATTCCCCAGGTGCAAGTCATTCCCTTACACCCAGAGCAGCTTCTTAAAGCAGAGGCATCCATTCAGAGTTCTTTTGTTTGAAGGGCCATGACACCACCTGGGAGAAAAGGACACCCTCAGCACCATAATTCATCAGCAGAATTTAGACGTTCCTTTCTGTTAGATGATAGCACTGAGAATTACTGGTATTAGTATTTCTTAAATCTATGTCCAGCTGATAGAAGGAAACCAGTCCTTCATTGTTTTCATGTCCTTAATCAGTACACAGCATGTACTGATTTAGTAGCTGTTTGTATTTCTCCCTGTGCCCTTTGGTGCCAAAGCTCATGCAGTCACAAGCACAGCAGAGCCAGCGGCTGGCTACAGTGCCTGACCCAGGAGTTTGCCCAGGAGGCAGTGACCTGCTCATTCTTGACCTGCTTCTGGTCACTGCTTTTAAGTTTTGACTCCTGGATGCTACTCCCTACTCAGTTCTCAGCATTGTGCTTGCCTGGAAGCTTCATATTGCTTCTCAGGGAGAGAGCCCTTTTCTGGCTTCTAGTAACTGGGCCAGCACACTGTTCGGCCAAAAGATAGGGAAGGAGAAAAAGCAGGCAATCCCTGCTCTCAAGAGTTCGTAGAAAATCAAAGTTCATACTGCAGTTGGAAACGATTTTTTTTTGTAAAATAAAAATAGAAAAACTACATTTTACTGCCTTTCACAGAAATATACTCTGTGCAGCCAACAGGAAGCTGAGCTTATTTCACTAATAGACGAGGGAGGGAGGACATTGCTTCAGTGCTTGCAGACCTCCAGTGTGGACTGCTGCAGTGAATAGCTAATGAATCTCTGTGCTGGGAGAAAGGTGAATCTAGAAATGGAGATGAGCGTGTGGACTGCATTCTGCAGACAAACAGCTGACGTCTCTGAGCGGCCTGCTATAATGATTATAACCGATGTTTCCTGGTTGCTTATTATTTGCCAGGATCGGTGCCAAGCATCTTTCCTAAGGACAGGATACATATGCACTTAGGCAGCCTTTCATAGTTAATATGCGTGGTATTGTTTTGTTTTAGGATCCGAAGTCCAATTTGATCCAACAGTGGTTGTTTCAACAAGGTGATCTTGGAGTCATTTCCAAAACTTTCCAGTTGTCCTCTCATCCGATACTTGGTGACTGGTCCATTCAAGTTCAAGTGAATGTAAGTATAAATATATTTTGGGGGAGAAAAAAATGATTTAAAATGTCCACATGGTGAAATTCTTCAAAGTCATTTTATGAACAGAAGAAAAATGAATGTGAACATCTGGACAATATAAGTGGCTTGTTCTTTTGCTGTGCTCACCAATAGATTCGCCGTCATTACAGCGTATCAGCAGACAGCCATCTTTTCTACCAGTGCTAATTAATTGCATGCATTGACTATTTATTTATTTATTTATTTATTTATTTATTTATTTATTGGTCTTTTTGAGACAGGGTCTCCCTGTAGCCCCAGCTGTCGTAGAACTCAGTATGTAGACGAGGCTGGCCTTGAACTCACAGAGATCCTCCTGCCTCTGCCTCCCAAGTGCTAGAACTACAGGTGTGTGCCACCATGCCCGGCACATTGACTAATTTAGAACTGAGTAATGAGCACAGCTATTACTTGGCATGTTTTACATTTCAGAACAATGATTCATGGTGAGTGATCAGGCTAACTTGCTTTGTCTTGTTATAAGAAGCAGGGACTTTACGTGGTCATGCTGACCTCTGCTCCTTAGTCCTTTCTCCCCAGAGCTCCCCCATACCTCCTGTGTTTGCTATCAGTATGAGCAGTTCTGTGATCTAATAGGGCAGGAGCATTAAGATGTCTTCCCATCTCTGTCTGCCTCAGCTTCTACCCTGTGCATTCACCACGTGATACTTGAAGATCCATTCAATACTTTCCCATTTTTCTTTATAATAAGACATATAAAGGTGTTTATGAATATGAGCTTTAAACAATTCCATTAGTCTAGGACCTTTCACTATTGATATTTTAGACACAAATTCTTCATTGTGGGCACAGTTCTGGGCATTGTTTTGCTTTGTTATTTTGGTGGTGCTGAGGACTCAACCTTATACATGCTAGGCAAGCGCTCTCCCACTCAGGCCTGTCCCAGCTTCTGGACCTGTGTATCATATGGTATTTAGCAGCATCTCTGGCCTTTATGAATGCGTGCCCATAGCAGTTTCCTCTTCCCTTAAGTTGTGACAGCCAAAAACATTGCCAAGTATTCCCTTGTGGGAGAAATGGCCTCCTGCTTCAATCAGAACCAATGAGCAACCATCAGCATATGATCTGAGGTAAGATAAGAGAACTCAGTGTTTAACCTCTGCCTCTTTAGGAAGTATCAGCTTTATTTTTGGTTCTGAGGACTGAACCCAGAGCCTTATATAATCCAGGTGAGTACATTATCACCAAGCTAGACCCACAGCTCTGCCCCACGTTTTGTTTGCATTATCGCAACAGTCCTGAAAGCAGATTTAATAAAATCAGTTTCCTCTAGATCAGGAAAACTAAGATTGGAGAAGTTTTTTTTTTTTTAAAAAACAATGATTTATTTATTTTTATTTGGTTTGTGTACATGTGAGTGCCTGCATGTGTGTATGTGACAGGTGTCCACAGAAGCCAGAAGAGGGCATTTGGGTCCCATAGATTTGGAGCTACAGGTGTTTGTGAATTGCTGTGTGGTTGCTAGAAACCAAACCCAGGCCCTCTGCAAGGGCAGCAAATGCTCTTAACTACTGAGCCATTTCTCCAGCTCTAGATTGGAGATGTTTAACAACTTTTCAGAAGGGTCAGAGTTGGATAGAGAAAAGATGTAAGTTTTTTTTTTTGGTCTTTTTGAGGCAGGGTCTCCCTGTAGCCCCAGCTGTGCTGGAACTCACTATGTAGACCAGGCTGGCCTTGAACTCACAGAGATCCACCTGCCTCTGCCTCCCGAGTGCTGGGATTAAAGGTGTGCGCCACCGCACCCGGTGTAAGATGTAACATTTTTATTTTTGTGTGTTTATATATGTATATGTACACATACATATGTGTGTGTGTATATATATGTCTGTGTAGATGAATTTGTGTGTGTGTGAGAGAGTGTGGTATATGTGTGTGGTGTGTGTGTATCTATGGGTGTGCGCATCTGTGGAAGCCAGAGGAGGATGTTGTGTATTCTGCTCTGTCACTCTCTGCCTTATTCTTTGAGCCAGGGTCTCTCACTGAAGGTGGATCGAGGCTGGTAGACAGCAAGCCCCCAGCAATCCTTCTGTCTCTGTCTCCCATAGTGCTGGGGTTACAAGTGTGTGGCTGTTGGTCACTATTGATAGCATAGTCTGATCTGTACTATCACTTTGCTATTGAAAAAAGTTTCCTTGCTACACAAACCAACCAACCAACCAAGTGTGTGGCCATTCCCAGCTTTTTATATGGGTGCTTGGATCTGAACTCAGATCCTCATGCTTTCTCAGAAAGTGCTCTTACCCAACAAGCCATCTCATCAGCCCTGAGAATTAAGACTTGAGCTCAGGTCTCTGATGCTAAAGCCTAGGCTCCCAACTGGCCCCATGACTTCATGACCCCACCACCAGAAATCCCTGCAGGGTGGGATCAGTAGAAGTTAGAATATACAGTAAACTCATATTTAGTTTCAAAACCAAATCTGTTAAGTCAGCTTAAAATAGAAAAATGATAAATCATTAAGTTCAGTGTAAAAAATTGCCATTTTTTATGTCAAAAGTGCCAAACATCAGTTTCAATCTAATGCAGATAGTCTTTTTTTTTTTTTAATCATTATTTTTTTTATTTTTTTTTTTCATACAGAAGAATCATTCCAAAGCAATTGACATTGAGACGTTTTCACATGCATTTCTAATCTCTATATACATGACTATCACTGGTCACAGTCGCCCACCTTCTGAGCTCCTCGGCATCTGAGCATGAATACAAACTCGTCAGA